CTCCTAAATATAAATATGTTACATTTCTATCTCCCTGCTTTTGTTCTTGTCATCTTTTCACCTTTAAGGTCCCTTTTTCCTTCTTCCCTAAATCTTACACGTACATTAAGACCCAGCTTAAGTTTTACCAGCTGATATAGTGAATGATTTCTTTGATTCTTTCAGACCACACTAATTTCTTCTCTAAACTCCTAGGGTAGTTAAAATTAGCATTTGACAATAACTCTGTTTAATTAAGGGGGGGGATCAGCCCTTTGATTTCTCTGGCACAGGGAGGAAATTCCCTTTACCAGTGTAGATTGACCACCTACTTTGCAACATATTAATTACCTGAGGCTCTGAGGATTGAGTGACTTGCCCAGCTCCAACTGCCAGGACTGGTCAGAGGCAGGACTCTTAACTCATAGACTCCAGACTCCTATGCCATACCCTATGCCAGTTATAATTAGAGTATATAATTGGGGTGTGTTAAGTGATCATTGAGGACTACCACCTCTGGTGTGAGGGTTTGCTGAGCCCTTTCCAGGGCTGCTCTGTCTACCTCTGCTCTCTACTTGTCATTCCATTCTCACCTATAGCTCCAAGAAGCTGTAGCATGTGCAATGGCCACACCCTGGTAAACTTTCTTTGCAGACAGGCTAAACCAAGTTGAGGGTAACTGATAGGCCTTAAACCTGTCACTGAGTTAGGGGGATGTCTACTCCAAGCATGTGAGGACTTCCCCTGCAGAATGTGGATGAGAATAATTTGTTCCACTGGCCATGAAGGTGGCTGAAGCAGGCGCTGTGGAGTGCTTAGAGCTTGATCAGACATCAAAGGTGCAAAGGTCATCCCCTGCATCCTGACCCATCACCAGTTGTCCTGACTTTTGACTTGCCAGTGGACGTCAGTGACTCTGGAAGAGAGAGTGAGGCTGATAACTGTACAACTCTGCCTCAGTTAAATCCAATTCACCCTCCAGTCAAAACATCACCTGTGATATCATTGGGCCTCTTTGAAAATGAAGGACAAACAACATGTAATTAGTACTTAATCAAATATTTAAATAAACTACAATATAGCTTAGTACTTAAATTTTTGTTTGTTAGTTTTCTGTCCCAAGCTAAACCAAAAGGAAAGCTCCTATCTTTCCTTTGATTCCCCTATACCTGGCACAGAGCTGGACCCATACTAGCTTCTTAAAATTAACTAGTTGATTGAACTTTAATTTAGTATCTCTGTATGGTAATACATATATAGCGTAGAAGTGATTTGTTTTGAGAACATACTTGTGATTTGATTGTTATAGGGAAACTCTCGGTGTGGAAATTTCACTAAAGAGAATCAGCAACTATTATATAACATAAAGTTTTAGAGTGTTGATTATATTAAAGGTTGAGTGACTTAGCCCTGCTCACATAACTAGGATGTGTCTAGATTTGAACTGAGGCAGGCTCATCCTGAAACCAAGAGGGGACCTCTCTTCACTATGCTCCTTTTCATATGTAAATGTAGGTTTACACATAAATATGTGTGTAATATAGATATGTCACACATATACACATATATATGTATAATATTTTATATATTTACAATAGATATAAAATATAACAGACTATATTTATATTACACACTCATATATAATATATTTGTATATTACACATGTATGTGTTACATATATAGTACATGTGTGTATACATACATACATATACATACATACATACATATATATATACATATATATATATATGAAAGAAGCACCATGGCATAGTAAGGAAAAAGCTTATATATTATATATACTAGCAACACATACTTTTTTCAATACTAAAAACCTATCCAAGAAGATTCTGTTTGTTCATTGTGTAGTTCTTGGCTGCAAAGCTTCTTGTCATATCCTGATGTAATTTCTTATTGCTACCAAAACAGCAGAATACCTATGCTTAAAAAGGCTGCTTTGAGAAGTTCTAATTGTCCTTCTAAAGCCTTTCCATAGTTGCAAAGATACTAATATCTTGCTGTGAAACTAACCTTTTGAAAATGGTTCCATTTGAAAGTTATTCTTAGAAAATGAATACAGGAGCAATAAGAATAGAAATTCTCTGTTTTTATTTCAGAATGTTCCTTGACTCTTGAAGTAACTTAAATATACTAGAACATAGAACTAGTATACTAGTTATATATATATAGAAGAAGAATACAGTATACTAGAACTATAGCTCATAGACAGTGATTGAGAATTCAGTCATTGCCCCTTCCCTCAAACCCAAAATAACTAACCAGTCTCTTCAAAAGTTTGTTTAATATGGCAAAAGTAGAGTTCTGTGGAAGTCTTTGCTCTAGTGGTCATACTGGGTTCATTGCCTGACAATTGAGGGACAGTTGTTCGAGAAATTATTTCTAGGATCAGAGCCCTGGCTCTGGTAGAGTAATTAGGTATTTGTCTGAAAGCCTCAAATCTAGGGGGCTGACAGCTCTTGTAGTCCTTTAGCAACAAACAACCAAGCTTATCACGGAGTTAGTAAGAGCCAGTAGTTAAAATAAGATATTTTTGGTTCTCTTCTCCCCACCTGACCTCTGGCATACACAGGGTAGCCTCCCTAGAATTGACCTTGAGCCTGGGTGTTCAAGGATCTCTTCTCTACTTCCCACCCTGTTCGCTAGTCCACTGAAGAAGTGCTTCACACTGCTTGCCTTGCGCAAAAATTCCTGGTTACAGCTCTGCCTATGTTTCTGATATATTGTATTTCTTTATTTAAATCCATCCAGGAAAGGGAGTAAGGAAATAGACCAATGCCTCCATCTTCTTTTAATGATTGTCTAGATAACCTCAGCCTTGAAATGCATAAAATAATTTGGCTTGTGTTTTTACAATCGAGATCATAAAGTTTATAGAAATCTTTGTTTTATTGAAAACTGCTCAAGAGGCCACATGCTGTACTAGATAGAGTGCTGGCAGGAATATCTAGGTTCAAATCAACCTCTGACAGATGATTTATATGACATTGCAAGCAAGCAGCTTAAGCTTTCAGGCCCCAGGAACCTCTCAGACTAGTGCTTCCAGAGAAGCCAGTATTCAGCGCTGAGGCCTCTGATTCCAAAGCCACAACTTTTTCCACTTCCAAGCCTCTTTTTTTTAATGAATTGAGGAAAAAGGTTGGTAATATAGGATGAGTCTTTAAGAAATATTTTTATTGATATTTTTTAAAAAGTTAGCTTTAACAATACATCCCTTCCTTCTCTTCAATTTTTTTAATGAAGAATTTTAAAAAAAGAAAGAAAAAACAGTTCAGCAAAACTAACCACCCAGCAGTGGTGCCCATTATGCCCAGCAGTATACATAGCATTTCATAGCCATAGTCCCCTATCTCTACAAAAAAGGCAGGGAAATGCATTCTCATATAAGTTCTTCACTTCCAAGGCTGGTCATTGTTATTAAATATAGTCCATTTTCATTTTTTTATTTTGCCATTTAAATTGTTATAGTCTTTGTATCTATTGCTTTCTTGGTCCTCTTTATACTTACTTCATACTGCATCAGTTCATAGTGTCTTCCTATGCCTTACTATATTCTTCATAATCACTTTTTCTTATTGGGCAACAGTACTCCACCACGTTCATAAACAACAGTGTAATTCCTATTGTGGTTCATGATTAGTTCCCATTGACCATTCCCACTGAAAATGAGATATTCCCAAGTGATTTGTCAGCTACTTTGTTTCCAGTTCTTTGTTGCTACAAATGTTTTTGTGTGTAGTGGATCTTTCTTATAGGTGGAGTCAGGAAGACCAGAGTTCAAATCCACCCTCAGATACTTACTAGTGGTTTAACCCTGGGCAAGTCACTTAACCTCTGTCTGCCTCAGTTTTCCTCAACTATAAAATAGGGATAATAATAGAACCTACCTCCCAGGGTTATTTTGAAAATCAAATGAGATAATATTTGTAAAATGCTTAGCATAGTACTTAGCACATTGTTTCCTTTCCCTTTCTTTCTATCTTTGGCATCCCTTGGATATATACCTAACAGTGAGGTCTTTGGGGAAAATGGTTTAATTTTTTTCTTAGTATAATTCCAAATTTCTTTCAAGGATGTATAGAGCAATTCACATCTCCAAAAATTTATTAGCGAGCCCATCCTTCTACAAGCATCAATTATTCCCGTATTTTGTTATCTTTACCAATTTGTTCAATATGAGGTGAAATGTCAAGATAATTTTGATTTGCGTTTTTCTTAGTGATTTGCAGCAATCATTCAAATGGTTGTTAACAACTTGAAGCTCTTTAAAAAACTAATTGTTCATATCTGTTGACCATTTAGCCATTGGAATATGACTTTTAGTGTTATATGTTGTCTTAATTGCCAATATATCTCAGATATCAGATCCTTATGAGGGATGTTTGATATAAAGATTTCTTCCCAATTGACCATTTCCCTTCTTATCCTACTTGCATTGCTCATATTATCACAAAAGCTTCTTAATTTCATGTCATTGAAATTATCTGCTTTGTTTTCTGTAATTACCTTCACCTGTTTTTTGGTTAAGCATTCTTCCTTTACCCAGAGCTCTGGAAGGAACTTCATCTGACTGTTTTACCACATAGTGATAAGGCTGCCATTCCAGGATGTCATCTCTTAGGCTAAATTGGGGGATGATTATTCAGTTCTCCCAGGTCTCTAGTCTCTGATCTGTACTCAGTTCTCTCTCTTTCCCTCACCTTCCCCCCTGCCCCCATCATAGTACCCAATTTAATGATAAAACATTTTAAAATGATTAGCATTATTACTACTATACATTTATTTTTGTAGGGCTTTTACCCATTCAGAGTGCTTTCTTGTCTCTTATTTTGCCTGATACACTCGGAATAACCCTGTAAGTTAGGTAAGGTACGTATTAGTCTCACTTTACAGAGGAGGAAACTGAGTCACAGAATGATTTAACAACCTGCTTATAATCAGCTTTTTGAGGGCTATTTCATCATGTCTCATTATGATTTTTGGTTGTTTTTTTTTTTTAATCACAGTTTAACCTGGTGTGCTCAAATTCTTGGATGCTGGACTTTACCCAGGCTGTTCTGAATCTGGGGTTTCTGGCTGGGGCTTTTACTCTATGCTATGCAGCAGACAGGTAAGTATGAAGGTGAGAGTCTATTTTAAGTCAATACATGTAACTACAAAGATGAACCTGTTAAGAGCTTAAAAGAAAAAAAGATTTTCCAAATTTAGAGATCCCCCAAATTCTAAAATTCTAAGTTTGTGATTAATTCACACTTTTTATTTGATATGATTTCATCTTTTCAAATTGTGACTTCCATTTCGTGATGGAAAACTTGTGGCCACTGTGTCTTTACTGTTATTTCATTGGTAAATCTGAATAAAGATGCTTTCATCTCAGCCAAAGAGCCAAGCAGTGTGGCATATTAAACCATGCTTGTCTGTTTGGTGACGGATCCATAGGAACTGATTTCATTCTACCTGAATCACTGTGAAATCATAAATCTAAATTGATTGAAAGGGCAGGGCAGGGTGAATTACAGGCTGTGGTTTGATTAGTTCAGTCATATGGACCTAGCGCTAGTTTTTGCTGGGTTCTTGGTTCCTAACTAAACAATCCGTGTTTCAATTCTACAGATTTAAATTGCATTTCTCAGCATAAAATAAAAATGTGCTTTCTCCCAAGGATTTGCAAGCAGTTAATCTAAAAATAACACGAAAATAGTATATGTAACAAATGAATTGGTTACATTTTGATAGTTATAATTATATTTGGGAAAAAAAATGGTGAGAATCTAAGACAATTCTGAAGGACTTATAATGAAAAATGCCACTGCCTTCCAGCAAAAGACCTGATGGAGTTTGAATGCAGATTGAAGTTTACTTTTTTATTTTATTTTTCTTAGGTTTTTTGTCTGTGTTTTCTTTTATAACATGGCTAATATGGAAATGTTTTGCATGAGTGCACATGTATAATCTATATCAAATTGCTTGCCTTCTCAAGAAGTGGGGAGAGGAGGGAGAGAGTGAAAGAATTTGGAACTCAAAATTAAAATTTTTTTAAAAATTACATGTCGTTGGGAAAAATAAAATAAAAAATAATGAGGCGTTGTCAATCTTTCTTTTTTAAATGCAGGCATTTTAGATACTTTGCAGAGTTATCAGATTTTATATGTTTCAAATTAAAATTTGGAATATCCAAAATGAAATGACTCCATAAAATATATCATTTATAGTAGCAAGTCATGAAATATTGTGAAACAGTGATTTTGTGATCAACAAGACCACATCCAAAGTCTTTCTGTAACATCAATTATTATGAAAAGTATGGATTTTGTGAAGCATACTCACAAAACTGCTTCTCTCAACCCCAGGATCAGGTGGATTTACAAGCAAATTTTACCAAAAATTCAAAGAACAACTAATTCCAATACCACATAAACTGTTTGAAAGGTGTCTTAGCAAATTTCTTCTGTGAAATAAATATGGTCTTGATACTTAAACCAATGAGAGTCAAATGAGATAAAGAAAACTGTCAACCAATTTCCTAAATAAATATTGATGAAAAAATTATAAATAAGATATTGGCAAGGAGATTACAGCAGTATATCATAGACATCATACACTAGGATAAGGCTGGGTTTATACCAGGCTGGTTCAATATTAGGAAAACTCTAAGCATAATTGACTGTATTGATTACAAAAAACATATGACAATTTCAGTAGATGCAGAAAAAGTTACCAGGGCAAGAATTCATTATTTGACAAAAGCTGTTGGGGAAACTGGAAAATAGTCTGGTAGAAACTAGGTATATTTCACTTTTCATCATTTCATTCAACTCTTTTCACGTTTTTCTAAAATCATCCAGCTCATTGTTTCTTACAGCATAGTGGTATTCTATCAAATCATATACCATAACTTATCAGCCATTTCCCAGTTGATGGACATCCTCCCAATTTGCCACCACGAAGAAAACTGCTATAAATGTTTTAGAACAAATATGTTCTTTTCCTTTTTCTCCTTGTGAAACAGACATAATAGTGGTATTTCTGGGTCAAAGAGTATACACAGTTTTATAACTCTTTGGGCATAATTCTGGATTGCTCTCCAAATGGCTGGATCAGTTCACAGTTCCATCAACAGTGTATAGTGTCCCAATTTTCCCCACCCCCTCCAATATTTGTCATTTTCCCCTTTTATCAGCCAATCTGATAGGTGTGAGATTGTATCTCAAAGTTATTTTAATTTGCATTTCTTTAATCAATAATGATTTAGAACAATTTTATATGCCTATATATTACATGTATAATGTGTGCATGTGTGAAGGCTTGCTTGAAATATTGAAAAGTGAAATGAGCAGAACCAAGCAAACATTGTATGCAGTGACAGCAATATAGTTCAAAGAACAATTGAGAACAATCAAGTTATTCTGAGTATTATAAATACTGGAATCAACTACAAAGGACCTTGTCCCTTTTCTGCTTCTTTCCCTTCACTTTTCCCAACCTCTTTCCTTCAAGCTGGGCAGCTAGGCAGTGCAGTGGATAAAGCACCAGGCCCGAAGTCAGGAAGATTCATCTTTGTGAGCTCAAATCCAGTCTTAGCCACTTACTAGCTGTGTGACCCTGGGCAAGTCACTTAACCCTGTTTGCCTCAGTTCCTCATTTGTCAAATGAGTTGGAGAAGGAAATGACAAATCAATCTAGTATCTCTGCAAGGAAAACCCCAAATGGTGTCATGAAGAGTCAGACATGACTGAACAAGAAGATTCCTCTCCTCTACTTCCTCTCCTCCTCTTTTTCTCTACTTCAGCAACTTAGCATTAATATATGGAAGTTTATAAGGATTACTCTGATGAAAGGTGGCCCTTCTTGGCCAAGGCTAACCCCCCACATGCAGAACTGATTGCTTTCTGGCCCATCTTCTCCAGCAAATTCCCCTTTGTCATCTCTACTTTCTCATTAATTGTCACTCTATATGCCCATGCCTTTCTCATCCTCAAAAAAATTTTCATCCCCAACAACCATCATCCCATATCTCTTTTCCCTTTTGTGTCTAAACTCCTTGAGAAGACCATTTATAGTAAGTGCCTCTACTTTCTTTCCTCCTACTCTCTTCTTAACTCCACACATCTGACTTCTGACCTCATTATGCTCTCTCCAAAGTTACCAATGATCTCTTAATTGACAAACCTTTTCAATCCTCATTGCTCTTGACCCCCTCTTCTCCTTTTTTTTTTTTTTATAGATTTCTGTTATACTACTTTCTCCTGGTTCTTCTGCTACCTCTCTGATCCCCTCAGCCTCCTTTGCTGGATCTTTATCCAGGTCTTGCCCACTAACAGTAGATATCCTCCATGGCTCTGTCCTGGGCCCTCTTCCCTTCCTCCTATATACTATTCCATTTGGTGATCTCATCAGCTGTCATGGCTTGTTATCATCTCTATTCAGATGACTCAGATATGTTTTTCCAGCCCCTCTTGATCTCATCTTGCATCTCTAATGGCCTATCAGACATTTCAAACTGGATGTCCCATAGAAATCTTAAATTTAGCATGTCCAAAAGCCTGCATATGTTTCAATGCTATTTTTATGAATTGCATTGATGAATTATTTTATTACTTTTGGGGAAAGATCCATAATTTTATTGGTATGGGCACTTCTTCAGACAATCATCATAGTCCCTTCAAGTTGTATTAATTGTTATTATTGGAAAAAATCATAGCTTGGTAGTCAACCTTTCTCACATACAATTAGATGGTTCCTCTGACAATCTTTTCCAGTGTGATAAGAGCTATGAAAGCATGTAACCTGGTAGTATGACCTTCATGATCCAAGGGCTGCCTTTGGACCACTGTCGGCCTTTAGAAGAGGACTTTATTGGAGAATCTAAATTATTTTATAGGAAAATTATGAAAAGCTGTAATAGAAAAGATCTCATTTGATTTTTTTAATGTTAAGATTACTTCTGCTTAGGCAAGTGGTTTCCCCCCCCCGCTTGCCCTTAAATCATATCTAGAGTACATTGCATTCATTTAACATTGTAATTAATTTTGAAATTATAAAAGATACTGGTTCTGCACATGACATCATTTTAGTATCGTTTGTGGTATTTGTTATTTGTATTGTGTTGAAAAATGATTTGAAGTGATTTTTCTCTCTTTCTCAAAAAGGTATGGAAGAATAATTATATATTTAATCTCCTGCTTTGGTGTGGGAATAAGTGGAATCGTTGTAGCATTTGCTCCAAACTTTACTGTGTTTGTGATCTTTCGCTTCCTGCAAGGTGTTTTTGGAAAGGGAACATGGATGACATCTTATGTTATTGGTAAGTTCAATTTAGTTCAATAAACATTAATTGAGCTTCTGGAATGGGAAGGCACTGGAGATACAGAAATAAAAGTGAAATAGTCTCTACCCTCAGTGAGCTTACATTCTACAATTCTAACTCATTTCAGTTTGGTTATCCTCTCTTTCCAGTTTAAATGGTGGGTCCTAAGTGAGTGTTAGATATGTTCTTAACATCAATCTCAGAATCTTTAACAATAAAGCCAAGAAATTTCATCTTGATTTAGTTCCGCCACAAACAATTCTATAAAAGCTATCATCTCATGCAGCAGGGCCTAAATGTCCCTTTTCCTTGAAAACCAAAGAATATAATAAGAAAAGTAATTCAGACTCACAGAATTTGATAGTTGAAAGGGATCCCAGTGACCAGCCATTCCAATTCATACACAAAAGTAAAAAAGATATACCTTATTCAAAAGAAATAGCATAGTAAAAATTGGTGGTGGGAAAGAGTGATAATTGCATTGTATATTTAAAAAATAAACTTACATGAATGTGATAAGGATATAAGCTCTGAGGGTTCCATTGGCAGGTAGGAGCTCTGTAACAAGGCTACATTTCTCTCTCAGAGTTCCACTGACACCTCTGAGGATTAGGGAGTCATTCTAAAGCTATTAGCTTGAATTCACATTCTGATGTGTTCCCTCTAATATCAGTTTACAGTGATTACTACTCCAATAATATTTATAGTGCCAGTTATTGTTTCCCTAATATCAGTTTGACCATCAGCTTTCTCCTTAATATCAATATCAATTAGCTTTTATACAGGGATATTTATTGATAAGATATAGCAAGAACAAAAGTATGGAAACATTTCCAAACCAGAGCATACTCTTCTCTTTATACTCCAGTTACTGGGGAGAGTGGGCTTAAATTTACAGTGATAAGAACATTCTTCCCATCACTGAGTTCATTTCTGGGTATAGCATAGCCAATAGAAGAGTAGCAAACTTGCTTTAAGGGCAGGGTTTCCCCAATGCTAGACAATCCACTACTGGGCCAGGGTAAGCAAGTTGCATCTCAGGGCTGTGGTGGCATCTGCTGACTGGGAAGCTGCTAGCTCTTCCAAACTTCTGAAGCTTACAAGGTCATTTTTGCCTTCAATCTTCCTTTGCTGAATAACGAGAAAGAATAGATAAAACAAGACTTCCAGGAGCCAAGATGTCAGAGTAAGCAAGAAATAGCTATAATGCTCCCATATTCCCTAAAGAAAAATGGGAAGTGGTCTCAAGCCCAGAAAGAACTCATGGAAGAGCTCAAAAAGGAGCTTTAAAATCACATAAGGAAGGTAGGAGAAAATCTGGGAAAAGAAATGACAGTGATATAAGAGAATTATGATAAAAAGAGTCAACAGCTTAGAAAAAGAAAACAACTGCTTAAAAAGTAGAATTGGCCACACGGAAAAGGATATACAATTAAAGTTGGGGGCAGGGATGAGTGGACCTGCCCAGGCTGCCGGAGGAGGTGGGTGCTAAAGAGACCTGGGCTCAGAACTTAATTCTCCGAGGAGGGGAAATTCCCATCCAGGGAACCCAAGCAGCGAGGTCAGGAGTGGCCTCAGTTGATTCCCACCAAAGTAACAGTTCAGAGATAGCACCACACCCACATGTCACTAAGAGGAGCTGCACCAATGAGAGTTGTACATCTTTCTGGAGAACAAGTACAGAGTCAGGGGGTCATCCACACTGCTCAGTCATCTTTAGCAATCCACCCCCTGCAGCTAGAGATGGTACAGATATTATCCTGGTCAGCTAGTGAAGATTCTCAGGATTCATCTGAAAACAAAGGCTCTTCACAGAAAGCTCAGAGGATTTCAGCACAGCACCATCTTACAAAAAAAAAATCTTAATGACCTTTCTTCAGAAGATGCCAGAGACAGGAAGGGAGATGGAGAAAACCCTGGAGTTTCAACAGTGACATCTATGTCTATCCCAATTCCTATATATCAGACTAACATTGGACAGTACATTGCCAATGCCCCAAATGGAACATTACAACTGGCCAGTCCGAGAACAGATGAAGTACAGGGGCTGCAGGCATTAACAATGATGAATGCAGGCAATACTCAACAAGGAACAACAATTCTTCAGTATGCACAGACATCTGATGGACAGCAGATACCTGTCCCTAGCAACCAAGTGGTTGTACAGACTACATCAGGAAATATGCAGACTTATCAGATTCATGCCACACCAGCAAATACTAACCTTCCACAGACAGTAGTGATGACATCTCCAGTCACTATAATATTTCAGACAACCAAAACAGATGATCCACAGTTGAAAAGAGAAATAAATTTGATGAAAAATAGAGAAGCTGCTCTAGAATGCCATAGAAAGAAAAAAGTAATATGTTAAGTGTCTGGAAAATTGATTTGCAGTCTTGGAAAGTCAAAATAAAACTTTAATAGATAAATTAAAAACTTTAAAAGATCTCTACTCCCATAAAAATGTCTAAAAAGAAGATCAACAAATGTTATGGACTTACCTAAAAATTAAATGGATTTTCTTTTTATATGGAATTTTATAAACTAAAAGGTCAAAAATGAAACTTATAAAAGTTAGAATTGGACAAGTGGAAGCTAATGACTTTATGAAACATAAAGTATCAATCAAACAAATTCAAAAGAATGAAAAAATAGAAGATGTAAAATACCTCACTGGAAAAAAAAATTGACCTGGAAAATAGATCCAGAAGAGACAATGTCAGAATCATTGGACTACCTGAAAGCCATAATCAAAAGGAGGACCTGGACAGCATCTTTCAAGAAATTATGAAGGAAAACTGCCCTGATATCCTGAAACCAGAGGGCAAAATAGGCATTGAAATAATCCACCTATCACCTCAAGAAAAAGAACCCAAAATAAAATCTCCAAGGAACATTATAGCCAAATTTCAGAATTATCAGGTCAAGGGAAAAATACTTCAAGAGGGCAGAAAAAAAGAATTCAGATATCAGGGAGCCACAATCAGCATTACATAGGACTTAGCAGCTGCAACATTTAAGTATTGGAGGTCATGGAACATGATATTCCGGAAGACAAAGGAGGTAGGATTACAACCAAGAATCACCTACCCAGTGAAATTAAGCATAATTCTTCAAGGGAAAAATATGGTCATTCAATGAAATAGCAAGATTTCAAGATTTCATAAGGAAAAGGCCAAAATTAAACAAAAAATTTGACCTCCAATATCAAGACCCAAGAGAAGCCTAAACAGATTAAATGGGAAAAGAAAACCAGGGATTCAATAGAGCTAAACTGTTTACATCCCTACATAGGAAGATGATACTTGTAATTCTTAAAAATTGTATCACTAATAATACAGCTAGAAGGCATGTATACAAAGACAGAGGGTATGGGTATAAGGTGAATTTGAGAGAATGACATAAAAAAGAAGGGATGAAAAAGAGGAGTACACTGGGTGAAGAAGGAAGGGAGAGATAGAACAGGGTAAATTATTTCACATGAAGAAGCCTGAAAGAACTAATTGTAGTGGAAGGAAAGATGGGAGGGTGGGTGATGAATATTGCTTGAACCTTATTCTCATCAGTATTGGCTCAAAGAGAGTATACAATCAGTTGAATATAGAAATTGATCTTACTCAATAGGGAAGTAGGAGAGGAAGAGATTAAGTAAAGGGTGGGGACTGAAAGAAGGGAGAGGAGATCGGGGGAAGTGGTAGACAGAAGCAAAACACTGGTGAGAAGGGAAAGGGTGAAAGGTGAGCGAGTACAAATAGGAGAAATAATAGTATGGAAGGAAATACACAGTAATCATAACTGTGATATTGAATCCTCTTTTTATGTTGTGCTGTGTATGTGGAAATGTTCTTTTCTTTTGTCTTCTTGTATTTAAGTTCAAATTGGATAAAAACTAAATTTTAAAAAAAAGAATAGATACAACAAGGGCAGAAGAAATAATAAGGCAATGTGTTAATAAACCACACATCAGCCCCAGTTGGGAGAGTAAGCCACTTGGTGCTACCTCCTTCTTGCTGCCTGGAGAGATGCTAGTCAGTGCCTTTTGTAAGCACATTCATTTTCTGCTCAGAGGCCAATTAAAAGGCTTTTCTTCACCACTCAGTAAGTGAACAGAAATAGTCATAGAATATCTGCACATACTCTGAAGTAGAAAGTCAGATTCATGATATGTCATCATGGTTCCTCAATACTCCACATAGGCTTGTAGAAGGCAAGGCTCCTTGTGGACATTCTAAGAACGGGGCCCTTGTTGGCCAAATCGCTCGTTATATAAGGAATTCTAGGAATTAGGGTTATGGGTAAAGAATGGTAGAGAGCATTTGGGTGGAGTGGAGGCAGAAGCAGAAGTAATATTGTCATCACATAATACCATAGATCACCAGGATGGAAAGAACAAGTCATATTGGACAAACCTCACTTTTTTGATAGATTAGTAGATCACAAGAAATGTTGTAGATATAGTTAACTTAGATTTTTAGTCTCTCCTACTCTTAGAAAAGATTCTAAGGATATGTGGGCTAGAAAATAGGGGTTTGCTACATTGGGAACTAATTGAAAGAGGGGAGTCTTGCTCATGTGTGAACTGGACTATTGGGCCTTTGAAGTTCTTTGTACTTCTGGGACCCTGTGATTCCTTCACCTGGTAAGGGAGATGACTCCCAAAAGACATTGTGAATCAACACCCAGGCTAATATGAAGAATATGAGAGAGAAGGATGTCTAGACATTGCAAGCAAAAAGCAGTTGAGAAGAGAATGATTCTGCAGAGCATGAGTCCCAGCTAAGGTAGATCATCCCCAAAGCATTTATAAATGAAGCTGGAAGGAGAACAAAAATAAATGTGAAATGGAATAGTTTCGGTGTTAATACAATCAATTCTTTATCTTTAGTGACAGTGAAATATTGACATTTGGCTCCTACCCTCAGTAGTCAGTGGCACCTACATAAGGACATAGAATGGCATTTATAAAGATTAAATTCAGAAGAATAGCTGAACCTGAGTTGGAACCTGAGCTGAACTTAACATGGAAAGTTATTTTAAAGGCATCCACTTTCCAAGATTATCTCAAAGAGAGAAAGATTCCAAGAAAAGAAAAAGATAATTTATGATATTATTACCCAAAAGAGTGACTGAGAAGACAGTAGCAATTAGCAATGCATATGCCTATTTTCTCATCTTTTTAAAATAGTTCATTTATCAAGGTCATCCCTGTGAAAACATGAGAAAGTAAGAAGTATGCTCTCATGTTAGGGCAGGTAGGTGGCACAGTGGATAGAGTATTGTGCTTGGAATCATAAAGACTCATATTCATGAGTTCAAATCTGGGCTCAGACATTTAAAAGATGTGTGACCCAGGGCAAGTCACTTAACCTCAATTGCTTCCAAAAAAAAATTGAGGTAATACTATTTTGACTACCAATCTTATAAAATTGTGAATTGCAAAGTTGTACATAGACACAGATTGTTATTTACCCGCAAACCATTTTGTTCATGATTTCATTGGTTGTGGTGGTTCTAATGCCACCAAAAAAAAATAACCCCAACAAACTAATATACATCTAGCACCTAATGGATGTTATTGGTCTAATATATATTCTGTAGAATAGTGCCTTTTCATTGTTAACCTCTTTTGTTTTTCTCTCTTTAGTGACAGAAATGGTTGGTTCAAAACAGAGAAGAATTGTAGGAATTGTGATTCAAATATTCTTCACCTTTGGAATTATAATTATCCCTGGGATCGCCTACCTTATCCCCAGATGGCAAGGGATCCAGCTAGCCATCACACTGCCCAACTTTCTGTTCCTTCTCTATTACTGGTAATACGGTCATGGTCATTGTTATAGTTATATGTTCTTTATGGTGGTACAACACTTTGGAGTCAGACTCATAATGTAACCAAAAGTAATAGAGATTTTCCAAATTCTTCAAAAATGTGTCCTGGGTTTGAAATGCTGAAAATTAGCTAAGGTCACTTTGTTATAAGTTGGCTTTTCAAAAAGCATAAAATGACAAATGAAGGCTTGTGTCACATTTAGTTGTTTCACAAAATCTTACAAAATGACAGTATTAATCATTAAAAAAGAACGTTCAAATCAAACAAGTGGATGATTCTCTTTGTAATTTGATGAATCTGTGATCTTATTGGTGTGGATAAATTTCCTCCAGTAACTGCAGACCATTCAGAATTAATCTGTCATCTAAGACAATATTAAAGAAAAGTTAACAGATTAACAATTAGAAATTCATATAGAGTAGAATAAATTATTAATAGCTTATTTAATTATTAGTTACTAAGAGTTCATTCTGATCCACTTCTTCAAGCTTTCCTTCTTGGAGAGACAAGGATAGGGAGATAAGACTGCTTCATTTCCTTGAGTTTCTTCAATTTATAGAATTTATCAAATGCTTTATCATTTAGTGTGTCATCAAAAAGTCATCAAATAAGTATGATTTTCCAAATATAAGCTGGTAGGAAATATCAGTCAGTGAAATTTTCCTTAAGCTGCTTATTACCAGACCCTCAGAATCTTCAGAATTTGCATTTTGGGTTCTTGGTTGGTTGGTTTTTTAGCTGATAGCAAGATCTCATTTGAAGAGGGGGGAAAAAAGAAAGCATAAACATCAAAATTTTGAAAAGTCTAGACATATGTCACCAACTTCCTTGCTTTGCCAGGGTGGTTCCTGAATCCCCCAGATGGCTAATCACTCGGAAGGAAGGAGAAAAGGCCTTGAAAATTCTGCAGAGCATTGCCAAGTACAATGGGAAATATCTCTCACCAAATTACTCAGAGGTAATTCTATTTTATTTTTCATAGTACATCCGGTTAAAATCAACAGATTTGTTTTCATGACACCTGTGTATTTGATAAAAATGATTTTAGGCAGTAAAATAATTGTTCAAATGTCTGACTGAATTGTTTATTTTGACTTGATCTAAAAAAAAGGTTCAAAGGGATTAAAAGAGGATTAAAAGGTTTAAAAAGAGGGTTTAACGTTAAAGAAGAAATATTCTGTTAAGTTGTATTAGCTTTTTGTTTATGGTCAGCTGGTAACAGTTCCATGCTTTGATGTTACCATTATTTCCTTGGACACATATCATTACATAATAGATTTTTATTGACTGTACAATTTATACTTATGACCTATTGTTGACATAATAGTTAGGGTAAGAATTTTTCTTTAAACTTAACGAAAAACAACATTTATCAGAGAGATTTTTTGGAACAGTAAAGTAAACTTTCAGTCTTTGGATTTATATGTGTTCATTCATATACTCCACAGATGTTTATTGAGTACCATGCGTTTGTACAGCATTGTCCTAATTGTCTTTGGTGGGAGTTATGAAAACAATGGAAGAAATAGGCTTTTTGGAGAGTGTATAATCCAACTGAGATGAGATACACGCACATCAATCAATCCACAAGAATATCTTAATCACTTACTATGTACCAGGTACTGTGCTTAGCACTAGGTATGCAGGGAAAGATCAAGAAGAGTCCCAGAACACATGCCCACAAGGACTTGACATTCTAATGGGGAGAGTGTGTGCGCATGCACACACACACACACACACACACACACATATGCATGTGTATGTATAATATACCCCATATATAAACAAGTGTGTGTATATATATATATATATATATATATATATATATATATATATATGAGTGTATGTATGAGCATACACAGATATACGCGTGTGTGTGTATGCACACAGGATCTTCCAAAGGTCTTAGTGCATTATATCGACGTACATATTTGTATATGTTAGCACATACTTGACAAATACAGAGTAGATGGCAGTGGGCCTTAGAGGAGGAAGCATTAACAGCAGTGGGGACAAGAAGAGGTCTCTTGAAGGTGATAGAACTTGATCTGAGTCCTAAAGAAAGCTGAGGGTAGAAGGGAGAGGATTCCAGGCATGCAGGACAGCTGGTACAAAGGAAGGAAAACATAGAGCTTCCTATGTGAAGAATAGCAAGTAAGCCAGCGTGGCTAGGTCGTAGAATATATAGAGGAGGAGTAATATGTTAAATGTTAAAAGACTGTAAAGACAGGAAGGGACCAGAAGGTAAACAATTTCAAGTGATGGATAAAGGTGCTTATATTTGATCTTATCAGTTATAGGGAGCCATTGGAAACAACCAGAGAATAAATATCAGGCAACGTGTAAAGAAGTGTGTGATAATAAGCTATAGGCTCTTGGGGAGTACAAACTCGGGGAAAACAAAGGGAATGAAAGATCATTGGATGGTGGGATTAGTCAGGTAAGTTTTCTTGGAATTCATGAATCTTGACGTGTCTGCTAGGGTCAAATAGTGTTGTTCATTTAGTAAGATATTTCTACCAAGAGAAGCTTTTGTTGGTCAGGTTTCTTTTTTCCTATTTGGCTCAGACTACTTTAGGTGTCTACTTTACATCTGTCTTTCAAATTACATTTAACTGGGAATTGGCCGATCATATATGAACTTAGGATTCTGCTGACTGACAAATTAAAGTATCTGTTACAATGGGAATTTTGAGGCACCTTTAGCGTTTGTCAATAATAAAAGGCATTCATTAATCCCTAAGTATGGTTCCTTACGTGGACAAATTTAAGACCTTCTCACTACATAGTCATTAAACTAAACAACCTCACGGTCCATTCCTTCATTTTTGCCACCAACATAATTGCTACTGCTCATTGAGGCAGTGTGAGATTGTGGACTTGTCTTTGAGATTTGGCTATGATGCTTACTAACAGCATGATCTTGGACAATCCAATGTAATCTGTTTGAGTTTGTTTTCTAAATCATAAAATGGGGATAATTATACCTCTACTGCCTTAAAAGTGCTGTGTAAATGTGAGCTACTATTACTATTATTATAATTACCTCTGAATCAGTTGTGTAGCAATTTACATTCACTGTTAAGACCACCAATATGGATGCATGGGTCTGCCTTTCTGTAGTCACTACATGTCTTAAAACACTGCCTAATTTCCCCAAGTTAAAGATGTGTCAAGCCTAAACCAAAGTTGATTAGTTGTGCTGTCCTTGGATCAAACAGAAGCTTTTAAAAAACCCACTAAACTTTAGATGACTCATGGAATGAAATGCCTTTGGCAAAATATAGTGTGGTAGCAACTCGCTCACTTTTTCTTATGGTAAATGCTGCTGAGAGACTGTGTCCTAGACCAGATCCACTTCCTCTTGGCCATAATGTCCCTACTGAAAAGGAAAGGAGTAATTTTTGTGTCTTCTATGAAGTATCCACTGGTCCTACTTCTAAACTATGAAGTGCTATAAAGATGATTTATGAAGATGACTAATAGGGAAGTAATTATATTTTTTGGTGTGACTGTGCTTGTGAAATACTATGAACCATCAGGAAAATTGATGCTATCCCTTTCTGACCAGGTAGATGGATGATTTCATTTAAAAGTCAGATTTGAAAATAAAACTAAGCCTTCTTTAAGTTGAAGCAGTATGTCTGCAGCCTTTTTTGAGAGAGAGAATGAGAAAAAGACAGAGAGAAGATTTGTGATATAGAAATGCTAGGTAAACAAAGCATCTTCTTCTAGAATATATTATAGTACAAATTTATTATAAACTGCGTTGTTAAAGCCTAGATCAGGTCATACTAGCCACCAAAGCATGTTCTTTACATTCAAAGTGACGTTTAATGCATTTCTCTCACTGTTACAGAGCATGCCTTCAATAGAAAAGTTCCATTTGTCTCTAAATCCTAGAATTATAGTGTGACCATGCAAAATCTAAATGTAGGCTATCTCTTTATCAACCAGAAGACCCGGGTTCAAATCCTGCCCTGTGTGCAGTTAGATGGTAATTATACCCAAAGAAAGTAATAGTCTATATAATATCATATTAGTTCCTTGCATTATATTTGTATGATAATATTTGACATGCAGTGGAAAACCAGATTTTTCACATTTGGTTCATATCATTACATATGAAAATTTCAGATCGGTGTGAGAGAAAGAGGGCCGGACTTGGATTCACAGGAACTAAGTTTGAATCCTGGCCCTATGACTAACTCCCTAGAAAATCAGTTAACCTTTCTAGCCCTCAGATCTTTCAGATGTAAAATAGGGTAATTGATCTAGGTGGACTCTCAGGTCCATTCCATCTCTAGATATATGATCCTGTGACTCAAATAGCAGGTTGAAAATACTATGGAACTGCTGTCAACATGACAGAAAAGCATGTTTGTTTAACCTAAGAAATCATGAATGAAAATATTCTTAAAAGTTCTCATGGACTTCAGAAGAGAAAGTTCTATTTGTAATCAGGAGAGAGTTGCTACCTTTATAAGAACTTAAATCAAGGGGTTTTTCTTGGTGCCCTTTTATGCTACGTTAGATTATTCCTTATTGTGACATTCCTTGCATGGCCAACAAAATGGACTTTTTTGCCTTAAGAATGTGTCTTTTCTAACAATAAGGAGGAACTGATTGGCCAATTAAAATTACAGGAACCTTAGCAGGAGTGGCCAGGTAATACAGATTGTAATTAAATAAGAAAGGGGAACACAGAGCAAAGTATAAAGTGAGTCTTAGTTTTGGGAAATGTCTAGATTCTACAAAGGAAGTAGGGTCAAGGAGGATGGGAGATTTTTCAGAATTGAGTTCTGATATTGTGGTCAAAAATAAAGCTTATGAGAAAGAAAGGGGAGTAGGGCTAAAAAGCCAGCATTATTTGCAATCATGAAACACTGGAAACTTTCCCCATAAATTCCCAGTAAAATTTCCTAGCAAAACAAGAATATGCTGTTGCCACACTATTTAATACAGTAATTTTAAAAAAAGGTTTTCTATAGCAATAAGATAAAAACAATTAAGTAAATGAGCATTGGTGAAGAGGAGGCAATATGAATTATAGACAATATGAATTTACTTGGGGAATAGTGCAGAAAATCAGCAAAGAAGCTAGTCAAGATCTCGACTACAACAGGTAAATTGTGAACAGTAAAATGACCAAAAATTAATTAAAAATCGAATGCTTAATGAATCTGAGGTGTTTCTTACAGCACTTTCTTGTGTTGCATTGTGCAACTTCACTGAAGCCTTGGTACTGAACACACAGCATGCACGCTTTGCACTGCTCATGCCATAATGCCATGCAATTCCAATGAACACTGCTGAAACTTGAAAAGGGGTCACAAGTGGAAAAAGTTTAAGATGCCCTAAAGTCAAACTGCTTCACTTTACTGCTGAGGAAAGAGAAGCCCAGAGATTTTAAATGACTTGGCCAAGATCAAACAGCTAGTAAGTGGTGAAACCAAATTCAAATCCAGGTCTCCTAAATCTAGTTAGTGCTTTTCCATTATAACATTACAACTTCTTTATTTTTAAATTAGCGATTTGAATGAAGGCATAGAGAATGCTTACCAGATTTTTAGATAACACAATGGGTTATGTGTACTGCATGAAAGAATCAGCGTCCAAAAGAATCATCCATACACCATCCTCTCAAGGAGACCAATTGTTAATAAAATGAAACTTACTTTGATCCAGAGATGTGGTTTTTATTAGGGTATAAAAGTCCTATTGTGGAAATGCTGAGGGAGATCTCAAGCTCTTCTCTGATTTGTAGTCTCACTAGGTTACTGAGAAGTTAAGTAATTTGCTTAAGGTCATACAGTATGTATCAGAGGGCAGAAGTCAAACCAAGGTCTTTTTAACTACAAGGTCAACCTTCCATTTCCTGGGCTAAACTGCCTTCCCTAAGATGAAATTTAATAGGAATAAATGTTAATTCTGTGACTGTACAAATAAAGGCTACAG